CCCCAACCAACCCAACCCGCAGCCGGTTCTCGGATCTTGGACCTTCTATTTCGGCGATCGTCGCCGCCGCCGTCATCACCACTACTGACGGAACCACCACCGCTACTGCTCCACGGCTAACGGGTTGTTCTTGTTGTTTCCATGGAGGCACCAACACCATCAGTCCAATCCGCATCCTCCTCGCCGGCGTCGGTGAACCCTACCCAGCCTTCACAACCCTTCCAAACTCCCGCGGAATCCCTAGTGAAATCCGAGATTCCAGCTCCCGAGTCGAACGAATCACTTCCTCCAGCCGCCTCTTCTATTCCGGATTCCTCACCGCCGGTTTCGTACACCATCACAATACCCAGTTGCTCCAGTAATCCGAAGCACGATAGAAGCCTTAATTTCTACACCTGCCTTCACTTCTTTTCGTTTCTTTCTTATGATTTTTCTTATATTCTATCTAGGTTGGTTTTCTTGGGATCAAATTCATAAGACAGAGAAGAGAACCCTTCCGGAGTTTTTCGATGAGAGGTCGGCTTCCAAGAACCCAAGCGTCTACAAGTATTACAGGGATTCCATCATACGACGCTTCAGATCGAACCCTTCTAGGAAGATCACGTTCACGGAGGCCCGGCGCGGACTGGTCGGGGACATTGGATCCGTACGAAGGGTTTTTGATTTCCTGGAGGCGTGGGGTTTGATTAATTACACGCCTTCCATGAGGCCGCTGCCAAAGGAGAAAAAGGAGGCGGGGGATACGGTGGAGAGGAAGGTTAGCTCTAAGAAGCTCTGCAGCAATTGCAAATCGCACTGTAGCATGGTTTGCTTCGTGACGGACAAGGTCAGCTGGCTTCTCTAACAGATTCACCATATTTTTCTGTTTTGATGATGAACTTATCATTGTTATTATGCAAGGATTTTTCTAGGTGCTTTTATTTATCTATAAAGGTATCCAGGAAATTTGCAGCATATTGTGGCTAATTGGAAGTTTGCTTTAAAATTACTGTAGTGCTTTAGTTTGAAATATTGATGATTATAGGTCTTTTTATTTTTTAAATACTGT